ATGAATTTCAGTCTTTAATAGACGAACTGCCAGAACCTTATTTGCTTCTTGGGGACCTAAATGCACATAGTGGACTGTGGGGCGATTCTCGCTGTGATGCACGAGGTCGTCTCATTGAACAATTTCTCTTCTCTTCCGGTGCCTGTTTGTTGAATAGGAAAGAGCCAACATACTATAATGTTGCCAACAAAACTTACTCGTCTATCGACCTCAGCATCGTATCACCTTCACTCCTACCCCTACTCAAATGGAAAATCATAAATAATCTATATGGTAGTGACCATTTTCCTGTAGTGTTGAGTTCACAAACAACATATGAAAGTCCTCTACACGTTTCCAAATGGCTGATAAACAAAGCAGACTGGGAACAGTTCCATAACACTACACGTTTGAGTTGGACAGACATATGTAGGTTAAACATAGATGAAGCTGTGCAGTATTTCACAGCTTTTCTAACTGACGCAGCAGCCAAGTGCATACCGCAAACATCTGGAATGCCCGGCAAACGACATGTCCCATGGTGGAACACAGACTGTCGTAATGCGCGAAAGGAACAGAACAGGGCATGGAGGTTGCTGTGGTACTCGCCGACAGCGGAAAACCTTGAGAGCTTTAAGAAAATAAAATCTCGAGGCAGGAGAACGCGTCGGCAGGCCAGAAGAGAAAGTTGGCACAAGTTTTTATCAGGGATAAATTCGTATACACAAGAGGCCAAAGTCTGGAACATGGTTCGTAGGGTAGCAGGAAGAAAAGTACATTCACTCCCACTCGTAAACACTCGGGGTGAAACCTTGGAAGATCAGGCAAACTTCCTCGGTGCACACTTTGAACGGGTATCCGGCTCGTCCCACTATACTGACACTTTCCAAAAATACAGAACAAGAATAGAAAAGCAGAAACTCGAACACAAATCCACTAGATACGAAGCATATAACCAAGCTTTCAGTCTAGCTGAGCTCCGAACATCTCTAAACCCCTGCAGTACTTCTGCCCCAGGTTCTGACCGTGTGGTGTATGAAATGTTAAAAAACCTACCAGCCGAAACACGAAAAACCTTACTTTGTTTGTACAATGCTATCTGGTTTTCTGGCACTATCCCTACCTCCTGGAAAAAGGCTATTATTATTCCCATTTTGAAAGAGGGCAAGGACCCTTCTTTAGCTTCAAGTTATAGGCCTATTGCACTTACAAGTTGCTTGTGCAAAGTATTCAAAAAAATGATAAACTGCCGACTTGTACATATCCTTGAAACAAAGAATTTGCTCGACCCATTTCAGTGCCTGTTCCGAGAAAGTAGATCCACCACAGACCTCCTTGTTCGTATCGAGGCACAGATCAGAGACGCCTTCGTTTATAAGCAATATTTTCTCTCTGTGTTCCTCGATATCGAAAAGGCGTATGAATCAACATGGCGTTTCGGAATTCTAAGAGACCTGTCCCACCTTGGTGTGCGCGGAAGAATGTTTCATATAATCGAAAGTTACCTGTCAAACCGGACATTCCGTGTCCGTCTGGGCAGCGTTCTCTCCCAAACATTTGTCCAGGAAACAGGCGTGCCACAAGGTGGTGTGCTTAGTTGCACACTTTTTATTATCAAAATGAATTCTTTGCACTTGTCCATTCCCCGCAATATGTTCTATTGTACATATGTCGACGACGTTCAGCTTGGCTTCAAGTCATGCAACTTGGCCATGTGTGAGCGGCAGGTTCAGCTGGGTTTAAATAATGTCTCCAAATGGGCAGATGAAAACGGATTTCGACTTAACCCACAAAAAAGCACGTGTGTCTTGTTCTCTCGAAAGAGAGGCATGCACTCGGAACCTGACAATCGACTGAACGGGCAACGTCTGTCCGTCAAAGCCGAGCATAAATTCTTAGGCTTAATCTTGGACAACAAGTTGACCTTCGTACCGCACATCAAGTATTTAAAAACAAAATGTTTAAAAGCCATGAATGTTATAAAAGTGTTGTCACGTACTACATGGGGTAGTGATAGGCAATGCCTCATGAACCTCTATAGAAGTCTCATTTGCACCCGCTTAGATTATGGGGCCATTGTCTATCAGTCTGCTACTCAAAGTGCCTTGAAGATGCTGGACCCCGTGCACCATTTGGGCATCCGCCTTTTTACGGCTGCTTTTCGCACCAGCCCCGTAGAAAGCCTTTATGTTGAGTCAAATGAGTGGTCGCTTCATCTGCAGAGAACTTACTTGTCCTTTGTTTATTTCCTTAAGGTGAAAGCAGACAAGAAGCACCCCTCATACTCTACAATTAATGATTTGTCGAGCTCAACTCTGTTTCAAAACAGGCCTTCGATGAGGCAGCCCTTCTCAGTTCGCCTGAAGTGTCTAGCTGAAGAAACTGAAGTGTCACTTGAACACAGTTTAATGGCTCCTGTTGCATACCCGCCACCGTGGAAGTGGCAGACTATAGACTGCGATGTGTCTTTCCTAGAAGTTACAAAACATGCACCTATTGCCCATATCCGAACATACTTTCTGGAACTTCAACACAAATACACACGTCCTGAGTTCTTCACAGATGCATCCAAGACTAACTCCTCTGTGTCCTACGCTGCTGTTGGCCCATCCTTTTCAGATGCTGGCCTTCTACATCCACGCACAAGTATCTTCACAGCGGAAGCTTACGCGATACTGGTGGCAGCTAAACACATCAAACAATTACAAATACAAAAAGCAGTAATTTATACGGACTCCCCCAGTGTGGTTACGGCTCTGCACACTCTTAAAAAACACAAAAACCCAGTCCTCGTCTCACTTTACTTCATTTTGTGCACACTCTGCACACTCAAACAACATGTTGTAGTGTGCTGGGTGCCAGGGCACCGTGAGATTCAAGGCAACGTGAGGGCGGATCAGCTCGCTGCATCCGTCCACAAAAGCACCGCCACTACACCCATATCAATCCCGGCCCTTGATCTTAAGCCCTCTCTCAAACGAAAGCTCAGGGACTACTGGCAGAGCAAGTGGGATAGACATATACAAAACAAACTACACGTTATCAAGCCACACCTTGGCCATTGGCCACCAGTATCAAAATCACGTCTAACAGAGGTAACACTAACAAGACTCAGGATAGGACACACATACCCGACACACACACATCTTTTGTCCGGTGGTGATCCACCATTGTGTGATAAATGTGGTGAGGCATTAACAGTTCTTCACGTTTTAATTCAATGTAAACAGTTAGACACTCTAAGAAGACAACACTTTCCTTTATCCTACCGACAACATATACCTCTACACCCTGCAATGTTCGTTGGCAGGGAACCGCTTTTTAGTAATAAATCATTGTTAGCGTTTTTAAAAGAAATTCATAATTTTCATATCATATACCCGGGCATTCCGTAGCACAACCTCTCCAGAGAGGTTTCTGCTGCGGTGGCTACACTGGAAAGCACTTGCCTCACGGCCCTCGGACGCAAGGGTATGAACGTGTGAGGTACTTGTGCTAATGCCATACATATCCACCATCGTCTTTTATTATTACCAACTTTGTTCATCTATTCACACCACACACACCTTTCACGGCATGGTCATGATTTTATTACCTGTATGTTTTTACCCGCCTTACCGCGAGGAATTTTATGGCCCTTATACAGCCGCTAATCACAATCATCGTCCACATTCCTGTCTCATGAACTGCGCTCTTTGGCCATCAAATGGCCCTTGCGCCAAAAAACACCATATATCATCAGAAGCCAACAAATCAAATAATGATGATGATTTGGTTCAGTGAACTACTGAGACTATAAAAAATAGGCTGTATGAAGCTAAGAGTTCATTCATACATTCTGAATCCACGGGTAAGTGCCAGAGGTATGGTGTCGGCTCTCTTACTTTCAGAGGAGAATCCACGTGTGCCAGATGTGCTTCTAAAGACCACATTTCTGACTACCGTGAAGCTGCGTCATCTCACTGTGTGAGTATGCTAGGTGGTGACCACCTAGCATACTCACGATCTTTTGCTGCATGGAAAATGGAGAGAGCCAATATATCGGTGAAAGTCTGGGAAAACATCTGTTTCAGGGGAGCCAGGAAGAGATGGTTGCCATGTCATGGCACCACCTGTGCAGATGTGGCATGTCAGGGGGCAGGATCGCACTGGCACACCAACCCGCATGGCAGCAGTAGTTCGGTCTACTCCCCTACTTGCGAAGAGAACCTAGAAGAGAACCGCCGACCTACATACATTTTCTGTGGTGGCCGGCATTAAGCCACCATCATGGTCTATGTCAAGACGGCTTCACAGCATCAAAGAAAATTTATTGCAGTAGAGCCTCTGTGTTGCATGTGTGAAGTCGCATTACTTGTGTAGTCGACTTACTTGCTCTTGCATGGGACATGCACGCTGTATAATTATTTGCGCACCAAATAAAAGTAGTTATTGTGTACAATGAGGCATTAGCTGAAATAGTTGAATGTAAAACGAACTGTGCACATAGGCAACAGAAGTGGAAGCTTCTAATATGCAACACTTTTTCATTTTTTTGTTTTTCTATATTTTTATTGGGTGGGCTGCTGTTGTTTTTGTTATTATCAAGCTTTTTTTGTTGTTGAATGGAATGACAATTCAACACGTGTTACTCATGAAAACCCCTGCACATGCAGCATTCACCCTTGCCGCTGATGCTACATTGTAATGCACATTGCATTTGCTGGAAATTACTTTAATAAACACATCTATCTACTTCAGAACAGCTTTCATGCTACTTCAGAAATTGCTCAAGATCCATAATTGGGTGGACCACGACTGTGCATTCCTTCGATCGCTTTTTAAAATTTTTGCTGTGCACTCTGTATACAAAAATGAAAAAAATGCACTTTTCTATCTTTTGAGTAATCAATATTCCTTTTTTTTTTAATCACTATTACGGGATTTCTGACTACAAGGATTCTATTATTGCAGTGCAAAGCTTTGTGATGTGTCATGTTGTGCTACGCAGTTCTCTAATGTGAATGGCTTTTTGGTCACAGGATGAAATACATCGAAGAGGAACTGGCTAAACGTCGAGGTGGCATTCAAGAGCCAGAGCTGTCGCTACAGTAAGCCGTGTTTTTTTTCTTTGTTTGTTTTGTTGAAGTGGGCCCTGTCTCACTACATCGTGTAGTTCAAAGTCCACTGCTGAATCACTGGGGTCCTGGCAGAGATATCCTGAGCTTGCCTGCTTGTATTTTAGCTCTCAATAATGGTTTGTAGGGGGCATGTTGGCTCTGTAAACAGTATACTGAAAGCAATACTAGTATTTTGGATACGGATGTAAAGACCCGGGAACAGAGGTGATAACTATTTATTGACAAGATGGAAAGAGCTATTTGTAATTCCTCACCAGTAGTTCATATTTGATTCTGCTGCTACAACGTTAAACCAGAAACTTCGGGTTCATCTCAAACTTCATTATAACAAAGTTGCATCTCGCAAAAAAGTAAGTTCGTTATATTCGTAAATTCGCCATAAAGATTATTTCTAACATTGTATCACTTGCAAGACTGTTTTTCATTTACTTTGTTAAAACTGATATTTCGTTATACCTGTGTTCATTTTAGTGAGGTTTGAGTGTAGTACTGACTTGAGCCACTCATGCAAGGCATGATAAGTTAGAAGCTTGACTAGGAAATCACCAAACAGGGAATGTGGCTGAAGTCAAGGTTTAGACATATAGGCTTGTCAAGGCCTTTTTTTCTCATCAGTGTGTGCCCTTTGCTCACTCTCCCACAACCTTGACAGTGGGGGAGAGAAAGAAAGGGAGCCATGGAGATAGAGAGGGTTGCTGTGCCAGCAGGTGTTGTCTGGTGAGGGGAAAGGCACCCAGAATTAACACCGACCATGTTCACGTTGACAGAAAAAAGTATGGCACCGAGTCATAATTTCACTGCGCCGCGGTGGTCTAGTTGCTAAGGTACTCGGCTGCTGACCCGCAGGGCGCGGGATCGAATCTTGGCTGCGGTGGCTGCATTTCCGATGGAGGCGGAAATGTTGTAGGCTCGTGTACTCGGATTTGGGTGCACATTAAAGAACCCTAGGTGGTTGAAATTTCCGGAGCCCTCCACTACGGTGTCTCTCATAATCATATGGTGGTTTTGGGATGTTAAATCCCACATATCAATCAATCAATCAATCAATCATAATTTCACTGTCAGTCTAAGAAAATGGCACCACTGTGGGGGTGCATCTATCTGGGCTGTTTGGTACATTATCAGGAAGGGAACTAACAGCACTAGAAATGGGTTGGTAATAAAATGACAGACAGGGCACTGAACTTCTACAAGAACTACACCTCGCAGGTAGGACAGGAATCGAAGATGGAATTTCATTTTTTGTTGAAAACTCTGCGAGAATTTCAAATGCTTTAAAAGCTCTGAGGGAAAAAGGCTCAAGCGGAATTGGTCGTAGTTGGGTACCTATCACATTGAATGGATTCGAAGCTGTCTTTGAAATCTGTTGGCTGGGGTGTAGAGAACTTGGGAATAATATATGTACGACTCTATGTTTTCTCCCTCTTGGGGACTAGAAGTTTGACTTAAGTAGTATGTATAGCTCGAGTTCATCGAAATAGTGACATGCCGTTTTTTCACCATGTCCATGGGATGCCCATTTAATCTAACAAGTGGCCCTATTTCGTCAGAGACTTGCTAAATTGGTACTTATTCGGTCCCTTCACTGCCCATGGAGGGATGCTGGCGTGTGGTCTACAATTCGTAATCAGGTATTAAAGTGATTGGGTGCCAGCGTGGCCGAAACCACTATTGGACACATGCGATGGGGTACCCGAAGGCGAATATGCGCTACGCTTTGCTACCACGCGCTTAACCGGTAGCAGAGCAACTTATGCTCCGCTACCTGCACCAACACACTGTCCCTCTTGGCCGTGCAATATCCTTGGGAAAGTGCACGTTGCCTGTGCAGACCTGCCAAGTCTTCCGGATTACCCGTACAATGTACGAATTCTGACCCCTTTGTACGGTTGTACGGTTGACGCAAAAATCTTCCATGAAGCGTGCAAAAACGTAGTTTTGCGGAAATTTTTAGCCATTTTTAGCTGAAAATTTACTGTTGGTCTGGCAACTTTGGTGAGACTAATCAAAACCAACTGCCATCGCCATCACTCAGTTGATCGAGCTTGCGATGTTCGTCATGTTGTGCTTTGTTAGCGGTTGAGTTGGCGTGCTTCGGAGCAGTGGTGTTGGTGTCTTGGTTTGCTGTCAGCCATGGCTCTTAGTAAAGAGCGGGAGCGAAAACAGTACTTACAGGTGTTTTTGAAGCAGTACACATCCGAATTCCCCTGCATCGTGGAATCGAAGAAGGGCAAGCATTTTGCATTCTGCACGGTGTGTGGCTGCGACATCAGCGTTTCTCACGGAGGCAAAACCGACGTTGTCGCTCGCGTTTCATCCAAAAAACACGTAAGTCTAGTGCAATGCCAAGAAAAGCAGCAGCAGCTGGGACAGTTTTTTTCAAAGCGGAACTCTGATAGTGACGTGATCCGAGCGGAATGTCTCTTCACTAGGTTTCTGCTGGAACATAACCTTCCATTGACCGTCTCTGACCACGTGGGTCCCCTGCTACGAAAGATGTTCCCTACTTCGGATGTCGCAAAGCGGTACGGCTGTGCGAGAACCAAGACAAGTGCAATTGTTGGGGAGATGGCAAACCATACTCAGGAGCGCATAGTGAGTTCCTTGAAGCAAAAAGTTTTCTCGGTTGCCATCGACAACAGTAATGATAGCCATTCGCAGTTGCACCCGATCGTGGTGACATACGTGGGGGAGTCTGGCTTAGTTGAGAGTCGACTACTTTCTTTGTGTACGTTGACGGGACAAGCAAGTGGTCGCAACATAGGCAACCTAATTCTGGAGGCTCTCGCGTCGTTTCATATACCGGTCACGAACTGTGTAGCGTTTTGTTCCGACAACGCCAACGTGATGCTTGGTAAAAAAAATGGCGTGGCAGCGGTGCTGACGGAAGTCCAAGAAAATTTGATTAAAATCGGGTGCGCATGCCACCTAATAAACTTGGCAGCTGAGAAGGGAGCAGTGTGCCTTCCAGCAAAAGTGGACGAAGTTCTTGTAGATATATTTTATTACCTGGAAAAGAGTGCTAAGAGGAAGGAGGCCTTGAGGCAGTTTCAGGAAATTCATAATGCAGACTTCAGAAAAATCTTGAAACACGTCCCAACTCGATGGCTATCTCTTGGGAAATGCTTGACCAGGCTCCTGGATCAGTGAAACCCTTTGTTGAGCTTCTTGCACGAAGTGAAGGACAAAAAGAGTCTCAGCTTTCTGGACTCATACCAGATCCCAAAGGCAGCAGCAAAGCAAGCAACAGCTCCAGCAGAAAAGCCTGATCAGTGCAAAACGAAAAGAAAGAACTTGACACAGGCTCCTTCAGTGCCAGCGAAGAAAGCCAAGGTTTCCTGCACACAGAAGACTGACCAGCACTGCCCAACACGTGAAGGATGGCTTTTTGTTTTCCTCAGCCTGGAAACCAACCGAGCATATTGTCTCTTCTTGCAGAATATTATTCCCATTTTCGAGAAAGTGAACCTCTCCTTGCAAGCACAAGCTCCCCAGATCCACGTGCTATGGTCGCTTCTCTTGGAACTTCTTCGAGACATTTTCTCAAGATTTGTAAACCCATCGTGGCTGAAATGAAGCCCAGAGCTGCTCAACTTGGACTACCATAGCAGGGAGGCACAGAAAGGGGACGAGGACCTCATCATTGGACAGGAAACTAGGACTGTGGTGGACAAGCTAACGCCCAGTGAGCAACAGGAGTTCTTCGAGGCAGTTCGGCACTACTTTGTGACAGTGTGCGACTACATGCGACACAAATTTCCCCTGGCAGACCCTGCTCTGCTTAATGCAGAGGTAGTTCAGCTGAAAACCCTGGACACCATGTCCTTACGAAAGGTTCACTTTTTTGTGGACTCTTTTCCAGCGATGCTACCTTTCCAACCGGGAGAGTCGAAAATGGAAGCGGTCGACGCACTGGAAGTAGAGTTTTCCAAGTTGCAGGCTCAGGATCTTCCTCCCCATATTCTACAAGAAGAACGAGTGGATGCCCAGTGAAGAATGGTGTCACAGCTGAGAACTGCAAGTGGAAGGTTGAAGTTCAGCCGAATTGCTGAGGTTATGCTTGGAATTTTGTCAATTCCACACAGCAATGCCGAGTGTGAGCGTCTCTTCAGCCTTGTGAGGAAAACAAGAACTGAATTTCGGCCGTCCATGCCTGACAAAACTCTCGGACATGTTCTCCTTGCGAAGTGTGACCAGGCTGGACATTGCTACAACCAGACCTACACAGAAGACTTCTTGAGGAGGGCCAAGTCGGCGACCACCACCTTTGTTCAAAAATAAGACAAGCTAAAGCCCAAGGAACAACAGGAACTCTTCGAGGCAGTTCGGCACTACTTTGTGACAGTGTGCGACTACATGCAACACAAGTTTTCCCCGACAGACCCTGCTCTGCTCTGCCTAATGCAGAGGTAGTTCAGTTGAAAAGCCTGGAGACCATGTCCTTCCGAAAGGTGCACTTTTTTGTTCAAAAAATTAAAAAAAAAATGCCCCCCCCCCCCCCCTCAGGCAGGGTCTTCCTAATTCTGTGTTCCAGTACTTGGCAGGTCTGCCTGTGGCGCACCACGTGCAGAGTGGGAGAGCTATGCCCGAAGTGAACACTTGTGACAAAGTAAAGGTTCCAGCATGTATATAACTATCGCAGGTGAAACTAGATTCTATGTGTTGAATTTAATCATTTTTGGTGCTTTTAACTCTTACGTCACATCATCCTGAAGGTGTTTCCAGTATTGCACCTGAGATGAGAGCAAGTACGGGATTAATGTGCGAGCGGTACAATGATGGTTTACTTTTGCATCGAAGGAAATGGCTTTTCTAAAATGTTCATTGCTTGCTGATAACCAATGTCAGGACCAAAACACATCATACTACTTATACAGGTCTAGAACACATCAGGAACCGAGTAACAGAGCTTGTCATTTCTGAGACAAAGTGTACGTAGGAAAACTACGTTGCTCCGAAATCTTATTAAC